GCTGTTAACTCCTTATTTTTTAATAGTTTTATACTTCACTTAACCACATGACATATAGTTAAGTTTTTTATAGGTACTGTTTTGTACACAGCATGTCGGCGATCTGGGAAATGTCATCGCTGGACCAGACGGGAGAGCTTCATTTAGACTGGAGGACTGTCAGCTTAAGGTAACACACAGAGTTATATTTGGCACTTGCACTTAGCCACAGGATATAGAGCTGAACAGCGTGCCTTGGTCTGTTTGCTTCCAGGTGTGGGATGTGATTGGTCGATCACTGGTTGTGGACGCAGGTGAGGACGACCTGGGTCGAGGAGGTCACCCTCTCTCCAAACAGACTGGGAACTCTGGAGAAAGGTGGGTGTGAAGGTGGTTTGAGTTAAACATGCGTAGCTTCAGGCTGGTTTCCAGTTCATTCATGGATTCACTTTGCTATACATCACAAAACAGCAGTTATCGGCCGTTTTCATCACCCATCATTGAAGCCAATTTTCTTCGACAACAAGTAAATTATTTACTTTGTAAAGTGTGAAGAAAATAAACATTTCGTGCTCACTATACTGTTGGAACATCAGCAATACATTAGCATTATTGCTGAATAATGAAGTAACCAGTTAGCATTAACAAGATTTGTGCTAATTTTGCTCACATTTTATGACAGTTTGAGCAAAAACTGGTTGAACCATCCATCCAACCAGTTTACACCACCTATGTGTTCTGGTCACGGGGAAACTATCTAAGCAGAGATGCCTCCGAGACCTCCATCTCCCCAGCAACTCCCTCCAGCTCTACTAGGAGGACCCTGAGGCATCGCCGAGCCAAATGAGAGATATAATCTCTGTCTCTAAAGAAGATCCTTGACATCCTTTGGAAGAATTTCATATCCGTTGATTAATCACAACTCACAACTCATAGCCTCAGGTGAGGGTAGGAATGTAGATCTGGCGATAAGTAAATAAAGTAGCTTCGCTTTCACGCTTGGCTCTCTCTTCCTCACAGCAGACCAGTAGAGCATCTACGTTCCTACAGATGTGACTTGGAACGTCGCCACTGCTGACAGTAACTCATCCCAACTCAGAGCGGGCCCTCCTAACTCCACTGGCTGAGAACCACAGCCTCAGACTGGGAGCTGCGCGTTTTCATCCCAGCATCTTCACATAGTTTTCCAGCCTCTGCCTGCCAGAGCTGAAACACGAATTAGTGAATGAAGTCATGATACAAATCTTTTTTTTATAGCAAATATTCATACTAACAAAAACAGATTTTTGACCAGCTCTGGATCAAAGCTAAGCTAAGGAGGAAGTGTTGGTTTAAAGCAGGAGTACATTGGTAGTCCGTGGAAAGCTCCAGGCTATCCGTCTACCTCCAGAGAGCGTCTGTTGTCAGATGGGTGCAGTATCAAAAATATGTGGTACAGCCAGTCGGTAACCTACTCGTGCTGTTGCTCTTTCATCTGAACAATGAAAAGCGTTCACTGCAGCCACTCCCTGCGCTGCTCAAGCTGTACTTTTGTATCTTTGATGGGTTTTTCCACACTTGTCCCAGTCCTGGTGATCTCCACTGTCACCCCATTCCGTGTTCAGGCCCACTTGTCAACAAATCAGCATTCAGACTCCACCCACCTCCACAAACCACTCCTCTATGACTGCAACACCTCTCTACATACCTGTGAGAGAGAGAGAGAGAAACCCCACAAAGCAGCTGGACTACACCACCTGTCTCCATCCACGCCGAAGCACCACATCCTCCTGTCTCCAGAGTCACCTTCAGCACCTCAGTGGAGACGCGTCATGAGCCAGCCTGCTTCAAAGCTTCAACCATTACTCCTGTGCTGAGTCCATCCTCACCTCCATGATTACCATCTGGTGCTCAAGGACAGAGGCTGACGGCAGCGTGGCATCTGTTCCACCGAGGAGGCGATTCGCTGCAAACAGCCTTCTCTTCAAGACCCTGCATGCCTCCAGGACCCGAGGCAGGCAACAAACATGGTTCCTGTCCCTCCTGCATTGGTCATCGAGTTTTTGAGTCGTACAATGTGCCTAAAATAATATTTGCATATCCAAATGACGTGTGTGTATAAGAGCTGTTATTTCTGTTATTAGTAACGAGAGGAGGAGAAACAGATTTGTCAGACTGCTGTAAATTTCCTGGCCACCTGTAGACTATCTGCTAGTTTTATTAAAGCCCTCTAATGTTAAACGCTCTACTCTGCTGCAGCACTCGAAGCTTTATACAACGTGCCTCCATCACTCATTCACACCCATACAAGCACCTTTTTTTTTCGCCTGAGTGCTTTCTATCTAACATTCACACTTCAGTGAATGCATCGGAGAGCAACTTAGGGGGGTCAGTATCTTCAGTATTTTGCCCAAGGATACTTTGGCATGTAAAGAGGAGCAGCCAGGGCTCAAATCACCCGCCTTCTAATTAGTCGATGGCTGCTGTAGCTTCTGAACTACTCTTAATAGCTGGGTAACTCCTGTAGACTGTCAGTGTTACAGAGGTCATCCACACCTTTGTTCAAGACCAGGAAATGTTTGTTTTCACTGACTGACTAGTGTTTGACTGCTGGCATCGCCCAGTTCTGTGCCAGTAATCCTTTCACCTAGATATCAGTCATGACCACAGCACTAACTCAGTGTTTTTGTGATTAATTAACTAAAATCTCAAAACTTAAATAATGAAAAATGCAATGAGACGTAACGCTGGTATCAAAATTATTATTTCAGGCACTTTAAATTGGTCAACTGTAGGTATTTTAGGTATTTTAAATTTCTTTGTTTTTTTTGTTTTGTTTTTTTTTCCCTGTGCAGGCTGGCCTGTGGGATCATCGCCCGATCGGCGGGACTTTTCCAGAATCCCAAACAGATTTGTGCCTGCGACGGCATCACGCTGTGGGAGGAGAGAGACCGGCCAATAGCCGGGAAAGGTCGGAGCAAGAACAACCCGGAGACACCGGCGGCACACCTGTGAACCTCTCAAACCTCTGGACACTGATGAGAGTTTGAACAAGGGGGACAAAAAGCGTCTTGAAGAGAAATGCAGATTCTCGACGGAGCGTGAGTGCTGACGCGACGAAGACAGAGTCCTGAAGATTACTGCACTGATGACCAAACAGCAATGAATGGACTTAATTTCATGAAAATGTTCTTTGTGATCGAATCAAACGCTCTCTGCAGTTGCTGTTTAATGTTTTTCTGAGCATTTTAAACATGTCACCTCATCAGCAGGATGTCTGTGAATGTTTTCTCAGCTACAGATTTAATTTCTCTGTGTTGCCGTCCTCTTGCAGGGACATGTGAGTAATTATGTAAGCCTCTCTAAAACACTTGTCATCTCCACATATTTGAGTTTTATTAAGTAGAAATATTAAAGAGGATGTGATGCGGAAGATTATTATGATTGCTCATAGGTGGGTCACGAGTAATGATATTTGTTTTAAGTAGAATATACAAAAAGTTGTTGGAAAACCAAATCAAATCCTGAAATTCCAGGATCTAAAATGTGTATGTGTGTGTGTGTGTGTGTTTGATTTTAAAAATATTTAGAAAAAATCTGTGATGAAGGGGGAGACCGTCCCTCCCTCTGTGATTGACTCTGTAGGAGAGTTTAAAACGAGCCCAGGAGGGAGAGTGAAATTCCTTCCAGAGTGAAAGGGGGCGAGGAGGGGGTTTAAAATGTGACAGAGGGAGTCCTTGAAGGATTGTGTGCTCAGCTGTTTTTCTTTCCAACATGGAGAGTGAGGTTAGTGTTCCTTTATCACTGCTGCAGAGGACGTTTGAGCCACACAGAGAGGGCAGCTGACAATCTCAGACACCCCCTCTCTGTTATCTTTTAGGAAAGTTAGACGAGTGAATCATGAAGTTGTCCAAACTGCTGCTCCTGCATATACCTCAGCCACATGTTGGTGCGCTGTCTGTGTCTGTGGCACATTTTGGATTGATTTTTTTCCTCCAAATCGAGCATCTGTCTTGTTCTGCTGATGCTCGAATAAGTTTATTGAATTTCCCAGTAAATGTTCTATCATTGTCCCTTTCTGTTTGAAGTGGCTGGGCTTTGAATGAAGACTCATTGTCCTCATAGCTGGACACCCAAAAACAACTGTATTTTTTTAAATCTAATATCAAAGCAGGAATCACAAATCCAAATGTTTGATTTACAGCTAAATAAATCAACACAAGTATGGATCAGTTAATTAGTGTGTCTTTTTAATTAGGATCACTAGTGCTGTGTGATACTGCAAATACAGGGCCAGGATTACTGATACCGATACCGATACTTTTAACCTATAAAGGCAGCTTATGTATTAGAGAGCAGTGTGTCATGATTTATGAGCTTAATCATCGTCAGTCTGCAAAATCTGCACACGTCAGTGACCTAAAAACATCGATTTTCACAATACACAATAGTTTATTACCACACGCTTCGAATGTGGGTTTTGGCGACCTGAAACATAAATGTTTCTGAAGCAACTTGTCTTGTTTAAATTTGCTATGGGCTATAAATAAAATAATAAAATAGGGTTTTGGACACTTTCCTCTAACACATACCACCACCCAACTAATAATAAATAAATAAATACATAACACAATTTAGTGGGCTACATACTCAACAAATAATACGTAAAGATATCGATCTCATCGATCCATTACCAATACCGGCGTTGATATCGATACTGTCGATATTAGGATCCCACATAAACAATAATCCCGCACTTGGATGTAAACGTGCCATCATTAATTGAGCCCCCCTCGCTTGTTGTTTGGGGGCTTTGTTCAGCTGTAATACACAAAGGCTCATGCGAGTCTCTGTGTGTGCTTGAGTCATTTTGGTGGCTCTTCTTTTGTGAGGATTCAGCATCCTCCCGGTGCAGCAGCAGCAGCAGCAGCAGCCCTCCCCCTCTGCAGCCTCTCCAGCAGTATGCCCGACGTTCAAACGGAAGCAGGCGCTACCATTTTGAAACACAGCACCGCTTAGGTAAGATGGTAGATCCTTTTATTTAATCGCCTTTTCTGCACCCTTATTCTCATGTGGGAGCTCGTTAAAGCCCGCCGTCTGAAAGCTGCGAGGGGGCTGCTGGTTTCGGCGCTGTTGTAGGGACGGAGAGCTTTAGATCGCCTCGCCGTTTCACTGTATTCATTCCTGTGCGGGAGGAAGAAGGGGAGGGAGAAAAAAATGTGGTGTTACATTGTATCGATCTGCCACCGAGAGTCATACCGTTGTATCAGGTATTAGTATTGATCATCGACGCCTCGCAATCGGAAGTGAAAGTAAGTGTGTTTAATGGCTGTTTGGCTGTCGGGACTTTGTTTGGTTTTGCTTTGAATCGCCGAGCGGAACCAAACAAGCATCTGCTCTCTCTCCCTCTCTCTCTCTCGTGTCTCCATTCACAAAAACACGGACAGCCTGTCCGACCAACTCATCTCGTGTCTTTTCGGTATTTGTGAGCTGGTAAATAAAGCGAGCTGTGGAAAATGTGTCGACTCAGCGCCGTGCTGCGTCATCACAAAAACAGCTTTCCCCCACCACCACCTCTGGTTTATGCTTCACTTGAACCCAGTGTTAGTGCAGCAGCCATACTGTATGTGAGCGGGGTTCACCCAGTGTGGAGAGCGGGTATCTGTGGTGGTGCTGGTGGTGTATTCGGTAAACTCAAACCAAAAAAACTAGAAACCCAGTTGTGTGGTGTTGGGGTGGGGAGGTGGGTTGTCCTGTAAAACATGTACAGGCTGAAGTGAAGGGATATGCTCACTTCTAGCTCCATATTTTTATTCTTGGGCCCTGTTCACGTTATTTACAACTGAAGAAATTCCTGGTGCAGCCATACTGTCTTCTGATTGGCTGTCCCTCGCAAACAGAAGCTTCCTGTTGAATGCAGAAACAATTCAAAATCCTTCTCCTCACATGCAAGGTCTTGGATATTCAGTCCCCATCTTATCTTAATGACCTTATAGTACTATATAACCCGATTAGAGCACTTTGCTCTCGCGCTGCAGGCCTATTTGTTGTTCCTAGAGTATTTAAAAGTAGAATGGGAGGGAGAGCCTTCAGTTTTCAGGCCCCTCTTCTGAGGAACCAGCTTCCAGTTTGGATTCAGGAGACAGACACTATCTGTACTTTTCAGATTAGGCTTAAAACTTTCCTTTTTGATAAAGCATATTGTTAGGGCTGGATCTGGTGACCATGAAGCCTCCCTTATTTATGCTGCAATAGGTGTAGGCTGCTGGGGGACTCCCATGATGCACTGAGTTGTTCTTCTTCAGTCACCTTTTTGAATCACTGTGTGTTTATACACCTCACTGCAACGATCTCGAGCTCTCTTCCACAGCATGTCTTTGTCACAGATGGCCGCCCCTCCCCGAGCCTGGTTCTGCTGGAGGTTTCTTCCTGTTAAAAGGGAGTTTTTCCTTCCCACTGTTGCCAAGTGCTTGCTCAAAATGAGTGGCTTGATTGTTAAGGTTTTCTCTGGATAATTGTGAGGTCTTAAAATCACAATACAAAGCACCTTGAGGTGGCTGCTGCAGTGATTTGTCGCTATATAAACAAAACTAAATTGAAACCGAAGATGGGCGGAGCTTCTGTGCTCATATACAGAGGTGTGTCATCTTAGGGTCAGATTTAGTAATGTGTTACAGCACAAAGTGGTTTCTGGCATAGAAGGAAGTACTGTGTGTATTTAGAAAAGAGCCCAGTGACAAGATTGTGTGTAAGTGGACATGGAGGACGAGGTGGAGGAACTCTGAGACTTCTCAGATCGACCATGTTGGATATGTATGCTGGGAGTTTCTTTCTGAAGGTACAAAATATAGGGAGGAAACTATATAAATCAAGCGTGCAAAGCGATTTACTGTTTGTGACACACCGTTTACTGCTAATTTAAGATTTAACGGAGGAAAAAGCTTGCCCTATTTTTTTGTGTTTAACATTGAAATGAACTGATTGCGCTTGTGCTTGGAAAACGGAGCAACTTTTGTAAATTACACGCAAAACTAACCACACTTACAAGTACTATTTGGGGATTGCGCTAACATGCTTTTTCCACCCCGTTCAGTAATTGTGTCTTTAAACTGACTCTGAAACTGTGGACTCAAGCTCGCTGTCTGATGTCTAATGATTGAGAAGTCATTATCCAAAGAGCATATGCGGGATAATCCTCCTTTCTGACTCTCAGAATCACCAAATTTTGCATTACTATTTGCTAAAGATCTGTTTTGCACTGTGTCAGTCTCATTTTTCTTTAACATAATTTTGTATTATTTTATCATTGTTCCATATAAAACTTTGTAAATATTCAATATGAGCCCATGACCTGTTTATTGTAGATTATACTACTTTTATTATTATTCTTAATGCTGCTGAAAACATGAAGCATTAATATGGGTAAAATACATCTTAAATGTGGCCAAAATCAAAGGTTTATTTACTCAGATAATTAATCATTAAGTAAAAGATCCATCTATCTATTCATCTTACAAAATTCACTTATTTTCTTTGCAGCATGACCTAAAACAAGAGACACTGGGTCCACTGGAAGCGATTTGTTCCTCTCGTGTCATTTACAAACTGACGGCTCATCACTTGCAAGCGTTCCAGGATCCGGTTGCCTAGGTAACCCACTAATATGCTTACTGACAGGTCATATGGTAACAACACTATCCTGTGCTCACACTGACAGTCGCCTGGAAGTTGAGAAAAGATGCTGAAGTCACCAGCTGTCCTCTTTCACTTTATGTGCTCCATGATCACCACATTGCTTCTGGTGTGGATGCATCTTAGGGCCGGGATTATGCTTTCCCCGTCAGTCCGCTAGGGTCCATTCAGGTCCGCTCCACATAAACGTCATCATCAAATGGTGAGCGAGTCCACAGTAGAGTATAGTCGAGGCCTTAGTCATCAGCAGGGTGTTTACCGAGGTCACAAAGCGAGGAAGCAGAAGACCATTTTCCAATAGAGGCCTACACAACCGGAAACCACAGACGTCGCCCCCTGCTGGCTATTAATATGAATGCATGTTTGAGGCACTTTGACTTAGCTACTTATCAGAAAGTTGAACGCTACATCCATATTTGTGCCTGAGATGACCATATTAGGCATATTTCCTCTAGTGAGATCACACAGAACCAGGAATCGACAACACTGTATCAAACTGAGCTTTAAAACATGATTTATCTCACAGAGATTATTTCCACATATGCGGACCTCATTACAAGAAACTTTCACCACAATTAATATGAACATTTGGTGTTATAACGGTGTATGTGTGACAGAAAAATGAGGAAAACTGTGATAGGTGCTCTTTAAAGCACCCGGATTCATGAAAGTCACTATAAATGCGTCGTGAGTTCAGGAGCAGCACTGCTCCTTGAAGTTGTTGGTGCAAAATGCTCCATTGGCCTGTCTGTCTCCTCTGCACGAGGGTGACTCATAGCTGCATGGGTAGTCACAGCCTGCTTCTCGCGAGTGAGAGCGACGTCTCCTTAAGCGAACTCTGTGATCTCTGTGGCATTTATCGTAAATGTTTAGCGGTTATTCGCTAGCACGATCTCCACTGCTCTGTTTTTACATAATATGACTTTATCTGACCTCAGCGGGCAACTCTGAGGCAAATCTGTGGTCAGTGTGGTATTCAATTTGAGGAATTTGAATGTTAATCTGCCTCCTCATTCATGTGTAAAGGTTCTTTATCAATAGTGTGTGTATATATGGGTGTGTTTAACGTTTTCTCCAAATAACAAGTTTCTGGGTTTTTCTCTTTTACTCTTTAAGCTAAAAGTTGATAACTGTGATTTTTTTTTTTTTTTTTTAGTCGTCTAAAAATAAATAAAAGCTTTAGGCTTGAGATAATGACATTTCCAAGCTTTTGATGCTCATACACTGTGTCTGCTTTTCACCCCCGTAGTCTTCCCCTTGTCAGACTAACACTGAGCCAAAGGTGTGTCTTCATGCTCACTCAGTAACTGTCACGTCTGGGGCAGCTGATAGTCATACCGTGTTGCTAATCCTTTCACTTATCTCTAAACAAACAGTCAAAGCGAACGCTCCCCCTGTTTCTCCGCAGCGCCATGGACAAGAGCCACACAGTGAAGCTCTTCGTGGGTAACCTGGCATTGGACACCACGCAGGAAGAGCTGTCGGCCATCTTCGAACCCTACGGTCAGGTGGTCAGCTGCAGCGTGCTGCGGCAGTTCGCCTTTGTGCATCTGCAGGGGGAGGGTGCTGCGGAGCGGGCCATCCGGGAGCTCAATGGACGGGAGTTTCGTGGTCGGAATTTGGTGGTGGAGGAATCGAGGGGGAGGCCGCTGCACTCCACCAAGGTGTTTGTGGGTAATCTGAGCGGCATGTGCACCACAGAAGACCTCCAGCAGCTGTTCCAGACGTTCGGGAAAGTCCTCGAATGTGACAAAGTCAAAGGTAAGCCAGGTCTCTACTCACAGTTGAAGTGAAGTTTAAGTTTAGATTCTGTTTTATGGTTTAATTATAGCTGCTGAATTGCTGGGAGCGCCTGAAAAAGACTGCAGAGTGCAAAGTTCAAAGTTAAAGCTAATGCCCCGATTGTAAAGTTGTGCACTTTCCTTTGGCACAGTTCATTTTCCTAGTAAGCAAATGTGATCCTTATTATTATCAGTGCACTGAATCACATCCAGCCATTGCTTTTCCGCAGGCTATGCTTTTGTTCACATGGAAAACAAGGAAGATGCGCTACAGGCCATCGAAGCCCTGCACGGCACCTCCTTCAAGGGCCGGCCCCTGTCCGTAGAGCTCTCCAAGGTCCAGCCCAGCAAGCAGGCGCCGACGGGGAAGATCCCGTGTGTGAACTGTGGGAAGCAGGGCCACTATGCTGGAGAATGCCCTGTGGGGAAACCTTCTCTGGAGCAGTACCAGAGTCAGGCAGCGGTCTTGGCTGCTGCCGCCGCTGCGGCCGCCGGCCTACCGCTGCAGGTCCAGCAAAGCGTGCACAATTCAGTCTACAACACCTCCACCTTTGATCCCACTTATGCTGCTCTCACAGGGATTACCACCGGGACACGCACAGATGGGAACCCGGTAAATCCAGCTGTTTATGGTGCCCTTGCCAGCCAGGTGTACGGTGCCAACGTTGCCAATCAGCTTTACGGAACGGTGGCCAATCAGGCCGCTCTCACGTCAGGGGCCACGCAGGTATACAGCTCCATGACACCTAATATTTACGGTCAGGTGGCTGCGTCCCCAGCAGCCGCCGCTGCTGCTGCCGCCGCTGCCGCTGCCTACACAACTCCGGTTTACACCCCGACGATGGCCAACCACCCCGTCTATCTGGCCGCGGCTCCTGGGATAGAAATGCCAACAGCGGCGGCCGCCGTTAATCCTGCCTACTCTGTAGCGCCTGCGATTTACAGCGCCGCCGCACCAGCCTACGCTCAGTTAAGCGCCATGGGAGCAGCGGACCCGACTACGGCTATCTTTGAGGCTGCCAGGCAGGCGCATTACTTCGCCCAGGGCCAGCAGGTTGTGGCTGAGCAGCAGACGGCAGCTGCCGCCACAGCAGCAGCTGTGGCAAAGTCCGGAGAGAGGGATCGTAGTCCACTGCGAAGGTCGGCACCTCTGCTTCCGGACCCTGTGATGAAGCCATTTATGTACCAGAGGGCCAAGCCACGCCGACCCCTGCTGCCCACGCCAGCTGGTCGAGCAGCTGAAGAGGCAGTGGAAGCCGCAGAAGACCCCATGGCCAGGTAGGATATAATCTTTGATTCTGTTTCCTGCTAAGCAGCAGATGTGAAATAATGACAGAGATCTTTCTAAAATGATTCTTTCAAGATGCTCCCTCACCTTTACAAATCTGATGTTGTTCTTGTGGTTTTAGCTCGTGTTTCACTGTCTTGCAAGCTATTTTCTCTTCAACCAAATTGGACCTTAACCTAACCATCTCTGTCCTCCCCGGTCTTAGGTACTACGCGGAGTACTACCAGCAGCTCCAGCAGTACCCACAGTTCCAGTATGCCTACGCATCACCGAGCACAGTGACCGCCATCCCTGGCATGCCGGGAATGCAGGCCATGCAAGCGGTCCAAGCAGTTCAGGCTGTCCCCGCGATGCAAGCCCAGCCCGTCGCCACGCTGGATGCACTCAGGCCAGTGGTCCCCGCCGCTGCGGCAGTGGCAGCCGCCATGGCTGCGCCCAGGGTGTATGAGCCGCCGTTGCCGCCGCCCACGCGCAAGGAGGCCATCCTCCGCCGCCCCGAACTCTCCCTTCACACGCCTGAGCCCCCCTTCCGATAGTCGCACACAACTCTCTGCCCGCCCCTCCCTCTTTGCCCTGAACCCCTCCCACCCTTCACCCTCCCTCACCCGCCCCAATCTCCTCTTCCAACCCCAAACTTGACCACCTTACAGCAGCTGTATGTACGTGTGTGTGTGTGTGTGTGTGTGTGTGTCTGGGGGCTCTAAGTGTGTGGTATTAAACTGGGGACTCCTTGGTTTATTAACCTGCTTTAGGAGAAACTTGATACGCCAGCCTTGGTTCAGTTTGCACGCACACACAGTGCAGCCACCGAAAGGGAGGCTTTCATCTGTCGCGCGGGCATTCTTTGTGCTTCTCAGTTTTACTTTTTTATCGTGCCAGTCTCACACTTGTGCCAGTATTAGGCCGACCCGCTCGGCCGTTTCATATATGCCTTTATTTCCGCAAACCCAGTTATGATTTTCTAAGGCCGAGACCTTCGATTGACGACATCAGCCATCCTCCTTAGGCCTAGATGATCAGTTAGGGCAGCTAATTTGAAACCTTTTTTGCCTTATGTTGAAGAGTTTCAATTTGCAACGTAACCAGATGGAAAGTCAGGGCGACGCTCTCGCGCGTGACGGCTGCGCTGCGTCGCGTCCGGCCGAACCAAGGTTGAGTCTTCTTTGTTTTTTGGTTTGTTTGGTTTTTTTTCGAGGGACGTTTTGTCTTGAATGTGACGTGGGCTGTGACGCGTGTGAGAGGTGAGGGCTTGCTGACCTTGCAGCGCACAAACGCAGCAGCAAAAAAAAGAAAAAAAAAACTGCGCCTTGCCGAAAAGGAAAGGAGAGAAAAAAAAAAGAGTAAAGCACACATAAACGTACTGTAATGTATGTTTGGATCTCCCCTTTGACTCCCTTTATTTTTTCTGAACCCCCCCCCTCCCCTCCTCCCCTCCCGCTCCACCCTTACTCTAACTGCAGCAATGAAAGACACTGCTTCACCTCTCCCTCTCTCGCTCTTTGTAATTACAGCTGCCTACCTCTTACAGCAAATTTCAATGTCTATTCTTTTCTATTGTGTTCTCTTATATTGTCGGCAGTTCCCGCTCCTTGTAAAGGGACAGGGTCAGCAGTTTAGAGGGGGAGGAGCCAGATATTACCGACAGTGACTTTTTTTTGTAGATGTTCCGTATGGAGTCCATCATTTTCAGAGGCCTTTTTTAAAAATAGTGTAAATGTGTTTTTTGTTGTTTACCTGTGACGTAAGTCAGCCTGGGATGTGATGAACTGTAAACGGTGGTGAAAGGAGGGAGAAAAAAAATCAATGTGTTACTACTGAGGGAGCAGTTTACAAAAGGATCTTTTAATCGCATCCTGTTAGAAACCACGATGGTATGTGACAAGCTCAATCATGTGCCTATAAAGCCTCGAGTGAAGTGCATTAAGTGGAGGGACCTCCCATTTTTAAGTGCTTTTGACATTATTTTTTAATCATTTCAAGGAGGGCGGGGGGAGCCCGACCTCCAGAGCTTTAGTATCCAGAAGGCTTGGAGAGCGAGCGAAGCTTTCTCTGGGATTTGTTTCACAGCTCTTAAAAGAAAAAGCCACAAACCGAGCCTTCACGGGTTCGTTACTTTACTAGCTGCTGGTTAAAGCAGAAACGACAGTGATAGCACCAATGAAGTGAGAGGTGGGGCAGCGTCGTCCACGTGCTTCTTTGACCCTCCGAATACCAGACCAGCTTTAGATTGCGATTGCAAAAAAGGGAAAAGAGCGAAAGTGTCTGTTTTAATATATCTGTTAGAGCTTGTAGAACTGGACTTTGACGAGTGGTAAATCCCACCCGCGTAGCTCTGCGTTTCATTAAAACAGCCACTTTCAAAGTATTTTGCAACTGCTATGTGACGGCGGTCTGCTGCACACGCCCCTTTACTGCCCTCCCGTTCCCCTCTCCTCCTCCCCTTCCTCTCTCTCCCCCTGTGTTTTTTTTTCTTTCTTTCTTTTTTTTTGTTTTTTAGCAGTTAAGCGACTTCTTTGCATCTCACGGTGTAATCTCTCTCTGTGTCGTATATACAGAACACATACCAGTTGCATCCTTTGTAGAACTATGTGGTTTGCGAAATGTCTTGTTTGCCATGTTTGAGATCGTATTTTTTAGAGAAGTATTTTAATTTTTTTTTGCCTTCTTTTTAAGAAAAATATAAAAAATCAAAAGTTAAAAAAAAAAAAAATCATTCAAAAAAAAATCAGCATGCTTTTTATTGAGAATATGTATTACTATAAACCTTATTATAATAAAGAATGTTTTGGCTGACACTAATGTGGTAAAAGAAAGCAAAGGGTTTGGACATTTCCCCTTCTTCTTCTTCTTCTTGTTTATGTTGTTCTTCTCCCACTATCTGTTTCTCTTGTGTAAAATGACCACCAGACCCATTTGACTGGGGACCCAAGGGGGAGACAGGTGTAGATGCTGGCCCAGCTTTGCTCTCTTTGGTCGGGGTAAGTGCAGGTTGGTGCTCCTTTCCTCTCTCCAGCCTCTCAAACTCAGTGCAGACCAACTCAACCAAAGGGTTTTGGGGTTAATTTGCATTTGAGAACATGCATTTCAGCGATTCATTCTGGCTCTGTAACATTAAAAGTTAGAAAAAAATGATTTTTTTCTTGTAGGAATGATGTTTTGGCACAGTGAGAGCTGGGGAGAGGCACACAGATAGAATGGCCTGGGTGCATTTTGATCTGTGGAGCAGTCCTGTTTCCTTGGGCGGGTGGGGGGTTTGATGGGTGTGTGTCTGGTCTGGTCTGGTCTGGTATCTCTCCCCTGCTGTACCAAATTCTCCCTCTCCGTGTGTCTCTGTGTCCTCTCTGCTCTCAGACCTGCATGTGTGATAATCTGTAACTCTGCCGCACAAACAAACAAACAAACAAGCCCCACGTCAGTCCAGCTTGACTAACTATCTCAACTGAAATAGGTCACCGTGCCGCCTGGAACGGCCGGGGTGCAGCCGTGCGTGAGCGTGGCGGCGTGAGCCATGGGGACGACTTTTAGCGCGACGCCAACGCAGCGGGAACTCGTTCTCTCTCTCTCTTCACCACCAAGGTAAATAAAAAAAGTTTACAAAAAAAAACAAAACAAAACGCAACAACAGCAGCAAAGAAATCATAAAGAGCACTGACTTCCCCTCTCCCAACCTGCCGCCCCCTCCTTTGACTGTGCCTTGAACAAACACTCCTCCCCCACCTCCCTCCTCTCCACACTGCCATCGCCACCTTCCTCCCCCACCTCCCCCAGTCCGTAACTCCTCCTCTGCTGCAGTGGCGGTGCCGCGGCTACAGCCTTGGGCTTCTCCTCTGTGGGTTTGGTGGGCAGGGTTTGGGTGGGGTTAGGACCCCTGCACAGGTCTCAGTCAAGTCTTGCAATCAGCTTTAGGAGGCGACTGGCGCGCCCTCTCTGTCCTGCTGGTGTGTGTCTGTGTGTGTGTGTTAAAGAGAAAGAAAGCTTTTTTGTTTGTCTATTTTTCTGTGGGCGGTATTTCATTGATTGGTGAGGCTTGACACCCCCACCCTACACACCCTCCCCCCTGCCCTCGCCACCGCCGTATTCGCCGCCCCTTGCCCCTTCCCTGCCCGCCCCGGTTCCCTCCTTCTTCCCTCTTCCCTCTCTCACACCTCCTCCTCCTTAACCCCGCCCTCCTGTGCGCCTCTCCTTTCCGCCGTTCACACACAAATACACAGCGCTTTTTTTTTTTTTCTTCACCCCCCTACTCCCGCCGCCACCGCCGCCGCCACCACCACCACCTTGGATCTGGGTTTGTGGCTCTGGCTCGGACTCAGACTTCCCAGAACCACCCACCTAAACCCAAACTTCCCACCCACCCTCCTTTTGTTACCGTAGTGGCCTGGGCGTGCCAACGGACAGTGTATGTGTGGTGGCCCGCCGCCGGACTCAGTAACACGACACAGAGAGACTTCAGTGTTGGACGAGCCGCTTTGCTGAAACTGTTGAATGATGGGTTTGCGCCACACAGCTGTGGAAGGGATTGTAACTCCCATAAGACCTTAGCGCCATCACAAAACGAGATAAACCAACAGGGGGTTTGCCTTGGGTCCCTCACAGCCTGTGTGCCAATCAGAAACGTCCTATAAGATCGGCCGAGCTAATAAGGCCAGTCTGACCTGAAGATTCTCACCAATCTCGGGACTCCTGTAGGACTTTTCTGGTACAGCAGCTCTGTTTCTCTAATCCTAGTGTCAGCTGGACCGGCTGGATATGTGCTATGAGTGACTTGTATGAGGTGTGGCTATTAAATAATGAGACGTCACACCGGTTTGACTCACAGAAGCTCTGTTTTGTTGTTTAACAGCCACGCCTCGTCTACATTCTTACCTGTTAAGACTATTGATGCACACACACAGTCCCGCACACACTCGCTGTATGTCAGATGAGTTTGTCTCACATTTGCTCCGACCGCTGCGAGACGGAGTCGAGACAAGCGTGGCGCTGCCTTTCTGTCCGCCTAACAAACTAAAAGGAGGTGGGGAGGATTGAGTAGATGACTTACTGATAAGGTGAGTTGGTAGTGGAAGGATCCTTTGGCCCAAAGCTACTTTCTAACCTCACCTTTCTGATCTTGGAGCATCCCATAATAGAGTCACTGGCCAGAACCTTATCAAAAGGAAACGTTGTCGCACACAGTGTCTGTGCTAATAATAACGAGCCCTAGAATCTGATGTCTCTGTTGCTTGGATACAAAGTGCAAAAAAACAGATTTTTTTTTGCGTTCACAGACACATTAAGTTTTTTTTAAAAAACACAAATGATGAGTTCATCATGTTTGGATGCATTTAGAGGCCAGTTTTATTTCTCTCCAAAGGACCAATGTGTAGGATTTAGTGGCGTTCGAGGACTGGACGTGTAGTGCAGGATCCATAGTCCTACATTAGTGCACATTTGCCTAGAAAGAAGGATTGTGGGTATTTGACAGATGCAGAGGCCATGTGTAGATGTGGTGAAAGACCAAAAAGCACATATCCTGAATGCTGATTGGCCGAAAAGCTGGCTCGAACAGGAAAGGGAGCAATAGTGCAGTTCACCACAAAGAGGAACAACTGTGTCCGTTTTCATTGCTTTCAGTCACTCGGTTTCACTTTACTACAAAGGACCAACGAAAGCACAAAAACAAGGGTAGCCTGTGTCACTAAATGGCGCACACATTTACAACCAGGCCGCCATGGCAACAGCACTCAACCACAGCGTGAAGTTGTGAGTCTGCAGACCTCAGCGTAGCAAAGATTAGAGAAAACGTGAAGGGCTCTTTACACTAATGAAAACAAACACAACTATGAGTACTGCATGTAATACTGTATGTAATATAGTCACAGGCGATTGCCCACTCCCTGAGCATGGTCCGTCTGGAGGTTTGCTCCTGTTGAAAGGGAGTTTTTCCTTCCCACTGTCGCCGAAGTGCCTGCTCAAAGAGGGTCGTCTGATCGTTGGGGTCCTCTCTGTTAATGTAGGGTGTTACCTTCCAATCTAAAGCGCCTTGAGGCGACTGCTGTTGTGATTTGGCGCTATATCGATAAAATTGAACCGAGTACTGCATTCTGTTTCCACGAGTAAATCCTACACACTGGTCCTTTAAGCAGTGCAGCTGATGAAACCCCTCCTCAGCCTCCATGATCAGGGCACACGGTGCTCCAGTTTTTTTCCCCCCTCCAGCCACCTCACCCCTCCCCTCCAACTCTGCCGGCTCCTCACTAAAAAGGCTTCTTCTGGTGCTTGTGAGTCTAGGCTTCCCGTGCTTGGGTGAATGCAGCCACACATCTCTTAAGCACCCCCGACCTCCCCGCGCACCCTCTTGCTCTGAATTCACAGACAGACAGAGCTGCAGCCTCCTCTCTACTTCCACTTCCTCACCCAAACTCCCCCTGCCTTCTGTGGTTTGGACAGCTGAAGAACTGAGATACTCTGCACACACACACACACACACATTTATATAGATATATATTTGTGTATTGTGTTGTTTTTTTTGATGGGATCCCACAGGGTACAGCAGACACCGGCAGAGATGTCCGGAACAGAACCCGCTCCGGCTTAGGTTTGAGCCCAGCCCTCACACTGTAGACCGTAATGCCTTTTTTTAGTTGAAGCAGGTTTCATTAACAAGACTTTTCTAGGTCATCTAGCACAGATGTGAATCACAGAATCACACTTCTAAGGATGCTTATCCTCTCTTCAGATAAAAGCATCAGGAGTGTCTTATCTCACACGTTACCTCGTATAGAGGGGGGCAGACAGCATGTGAACGCCAGCAGGATGCAGTGCAGCTCAATACAAAAATCACTGCATTTATTGATCATTTATAAGGTTTTTTTCCCCCTCATAACTGCAGTAATAGTGTGTTGGCTGGCATTCATGTTATTTTGTCCACCCTTCTGCCCTTATATGATTACAGGCCACCTGAGGCCAAGCCCATCTTTTTTTCCTCCCTCTCCACGGACCATTTCATTGTCAGCAGTCCCACGGTGGCATTATGTTTAGCCATTTCAGTTCCCACGGCTCAGCGGGTGCTCAGTCACAAACTTAATTGTAACCACAAATAGTCGCACAGTAGCTAAGCTTCTTCAAGTAGGTTAATGGACCAAGCTTAGTGTAGTTAAACGAAATGCCTCAGTTAATTACAATTAATCGTTCTAGTTTCCAAAGACGTCAGGGGTGACAGAATAGTGTGTCATCTCAAGAGGAGAGCGATCGGGATCTGCTCCTCTTTCAAAGAAATCGAATCCAGCACAAACGCTGAACGATGAGGGGATTTTCACACCGTGAATGTCGGATCAAACATTTGCGTCAACATGTTTACTGTGAATGACAAGTCCTGATATGAAGACAATTATACTGTATGGTTGTGTGTGCATATATTTATGCCTTTTAGTCTGTATTTCTTAAGATGTTGAGGTATTTTTTTTCAGTCTGCATGAACAAAAATCATGAATAAATCTTTTTGTTTCTCATATAATTTGCCTGAGTTTGTTTTTATTTTCAAGGTTTGTTTTATTCGAGTTCCTCTCCAATGGTGCTTGATCCTTTGCTGTGTCGTTTATGACAGCAGGAACTATGCATTTTACCTGCAGTCTAATTTTAGAGTGAGGAATAAGATGGCGTGAGCTGCTGCCAGTGAGAGCAGTGCAGGGAGGAGCTGCTTTGCCTGGGGTTAGATTAAGCTGGAGTCAGAGCTGAGAAGTTGTCAAAATCTCAGAAATGGGTGTCTTAATTTTATTGACCCATGTGGGGTTTGTTTTTTGTTTTTTAAAGAATACATGATTCAGTTGTTTGAATTTGTAGGTAGGCTGAAAGCACAGAGGCCTGGCTTTGCCATTGAGGATCATTAACAGCAACAGGTGCATTGCACAGGCCATAAAAACCTCTCTGCTGAAAGGAGGCGTTATTGACATACTTCCACACCACTCACCAGCCCCCTCATCCCTACCCGCGGGAGACCACCCCGCCTTTCACACCTTTTTAGGCCCAGAACCTGATACCCACGCTGTCGGTTCCCATACTTATTGGGGTGCGGTCACGTGTGCCACTTTTGACCAGGAAAGGAGCACCGGCCAGCAAGGTCTTCTGGTAGTGGGAGCACCACCTCCGCACAGGCACCTCGCACCAGTGGAGTCTGGTCTCTGCAGCCCCCAACTCTCTCTCTCCCCCCACGAAAGCGAGACCTCTAAGTCTCAAGGAGGTTGTTTGGCCTCACGGCGTCATCTTCCTCGTTTCTATTGCTGATTTTTTTTTTTTCTTACCAATAAGCTGAGGGGGACGCGTAAAGTCCTGATTGAGGCGGAACCATGACAGCTGTCGAAACCCAAATAACATACACCAACTCCTACACGATCCAACATGAAGACGCGTACATGACCCAGGAGGAGGACTGGGACAGGGATCTGCTGCTGGACCCCGCCTGGGAGAAGCAGCAGCGGAAGGTAGGTTTGGACAAAGCGGTTTCGAGTAGCGCTTGTGCCGACGTGCGTAATTACGCATAGATCGGACATCTTCGCTCGCGTTCAAGTCAGTGAGCGGCGCTTTAAAAAAATGCTTTTAACACGTTAACAAGGCAGACTGAATTTAATTTGGGAGTCAGTGGTGTTGGTCTAATTGTGTGAAGTCTAATATGAAACTGCGCCTTCGCTGGCCTCACACCTGGCACTTCAGTCCTGCTTGAAGCTGTGTGGGCAGATATTTTAGGCTGTGGAACTTTCTCAGTGTTGTCTTTCAGTTACCCCCGATTGCCTTGCAGACTGTCTAAATATATTACCACCTCCCGAAGGTTTTTGTTTTCTTACTTTGCCTGCGTTTTTTACTTAACTTTTAAAGTACATGCGAGTTTATAGGGATATAAGGACATTAAGCCAACCTGGAGATAATTAGAAACAGCGCACAGGATGCAAAGGATGGCGTAAAAGCAGAGGGGAAATACTCACAATAATTATAAAATTTGTTAAGTTACTTTAGACCAATATAAGTATGCCTTTTTTTAATTATCTATACCACAACTTCCTATTAAAACAGCCTCTTATGTTACTGAGGAATATTACATTTGATGACTTAAAAAGTAAAGCAACAACTCTTAAAGTATGTCTTTAATCTTATTTTGAAACCCATACTGAACCAGACTTGGGGCGGGGTGGGGTTAGGCCAACCTTTAAGGTCGCATGGAGAAAGAGCATGACAGGTGTGTTTAATGAGCTGCTGGAGCAAAAGTCAAGTGACACAGGTGATGTCTGCCACGGCACACTGGGGCAAAAACAACACCGGCAAAGGTTAATGAGCTACACTTTTGTCTTTGAGGTGTTCACCTTGCACACAAATGACCCACTGCGATGTTTCAGTTCAGTGAACAGACTGAACTGATTTTCATGTTTGGTATTTTTGATTCTAAGGGTTGGTAATTGGTCGCCATGTTGGATGACCACAGCCTTCACCTACCAGGAAGATTTCTGTTTCACGTAATGAAAGAGAGCTACCAAAACATATTCAAATTAAACAGGAAGTTTCAGCTGTTTGCCGCACCTGACTCAAAGTCATTAGCCTTCTCTTCCTAGCTGGCATGTCAGAAATGCAAAGGGAGCAAGGATACGTTCAGTTAACATGATTTCATAGAGATGTTAATCCTGTAAAACCAGAAATAATTACCAGGAAATTTTAAGCTCGATTTTTCATTGAATCTGGAAAAAAGAGAGTAAAAATAAATGTGCATATATGAGAGTTAAGTTGTATCATTTTTAGCTACATTTGGCTTTTTTTGTATAATTTATTGCTCACAGCCGGTTAAACAAAGACATGTTTTAATATAGTCAAAAGAAACTCATAAAATGTAATACAGTTAATGTTATAAGGTTTCACTTTTTTTTTTTTTTTTTAAGGTTTTCTTGTGTTGCTGTACAGTTTGGCTCAAGAAAAGTAAAAGCTGAGACTTTGGCTTCAGCTAATGCAGAGATGGCACATGACTTTACTCTAAAGATGACACATTTGGACTAATGAGGTTTAAATCAGCAATAAAACCTTCGAAAAGTTCAACATAACTTCCAGCTGCTGTTTGTGTTCAGCTGAGCTGAAGAGAGCAAAAAGAAAAATCATCTTTGTGAAATATGTCTAATATTTTTTTGAGTATTTTAGGAATCCCATGCTCCTATTCTCATCTCTGACAGTTATTGAAGTGTAGGGGCCGTGCTTGCTTCCATATCCTACTGTACTCAAAGACATAACCTAATCTAACCTGTAACCTGTAATCTGGGTATAGATCAGTGAAACGGGCACATTTTACGGCATCAGCTGCAGTGAATCTGCAGAATTGTTCCGTCAATGAAAAATGTCTCCCAGAGCTGAAGTGCAGTGACAGGCTGAGAGACCTCAACAGATGGTAGCAGAGAGGAGAGAGAGAGCGAGATGGATGGCAAGGCTGTTAAGTATACACCCCGGGTTGGTTTCACAGACCCACAAATAAACGTCTTCCTAAAAATACTTCTTAACTTGCTTGGCTCCAACTTGCCCCCCTCCCCCGCTTACTTTCTCTTTATCGCTGTGTCTTTTCTCTGAAAACTTCCTTCACCACCATTTTTGGAATATTTGCACATCTCTTGTGATTGCGCCTTTTTTAAACCGATTAAAAATGTTGCCTTTCTTACTTTGTCTCATGCAGACCACCAGCCTTTTACGCTCAGGGTCATAAAACAGGCCTTGAATAAACCTCTACAGCCCAGCGAGTCTTTAGTCTTCACCCCTCATCCTCCCCGGGGAGCCGGTCATGGTACTCTACTGCTCTCCTTGGCATGTAAAATCTAGCTTAAGGAGCTGATATCAGCCCATAAATATAGCCGGCACTTCATTCTGCAGTGCCGAGAATATGAAAGGGAAGCCTCGAAGCACCTGTTGTCTCCTCTGTCCCTGAAATTTCAGTGGAAAAAGCCGCTCACCACTTGCTGCAGTAGTAAAATGTTTGTCAACACACAGTGATGCCAAATCTGATACCACACATTAGAAATGGTGTGTGTGTGTCTGAATTGTACATGCTGACACTGGTTTATATTTATCATAGAGCATGGCTCCTTCTTTGCTAAGAAGTGATTCATGACTTGATTTGGACGAGGCATTTGATTTAAGAGGAGCTGGCAAAAATTGTGTTAGATATTGCATCTAGGGGAAAGCTGTCGGAAGGAAATATGAGATATGAAAGGCCGGAGTGATGAGATCTGGCTGCATCTTATCTTGGCGAGCTTCTCTCCTCAAAGCAACTGTAATCTTGGAAATAAGGAGGGCTGATCCAAGTGGATGGAGGAAACCGGTCCGGTTAGAGCCAGAAGTTCTTTTCGTGGGCTTTCGGAGCTTTATTGATGTCTGCCTCAAACAGATGACGGGCTGACAGGTCCGGCTCCACCGCATCTGCAAAAATAAGTGATTGCTGTAGGCGCAATCAATATCTGTTTAAAGATTTACTCTCACTGCAGAGGGCTGCAGAAGACTGCGCTCACAAGAACACATGGAATGGCTTTTTATTTGAAAAGGCGATGCTTTCGTCCTCCTGTGCAGTAGATCCCTCTGTTGGCATGCAGCACTGAGATAACTAGAAAGTAGAAACTATCATTATGCTAAAAAAAAATAAATGAATAAAGATTCAGTGCTATGACCTAAGTCATCTTCTGTTTCACATTGTTAAAGAGTTCAGCTGCTAATTCACTAAGTAAAGCTGCCTGGTGACGCTCATGTTAGCAGTAATCTAAAAATATCCATTACATGAGGTTATCAGCAGCCGTGTGCTTAGCTGACCTGTTAGCAATAAAAGCTCAGTGTACGTACACACAGAAGAAATTAGACTGGGCAAGTTGAAAAGTATTTAAAAAGAATAATAATCATTTATTTTTTCCCTCACTGACACACTGTTGGTAATATAGGAGAGGTAGCTTAAACTGATACCTAGTTTTAGCGTAGCTTCCATGTGCCCACACAGAACTGTCTGTGCAGCCGTACCAAAGACGGATCGATATCTTAGGCGACAATAACATTCAGTATTAACCAATCACAGATAAGAGTGGTGCCAAATCGAGCGGTGTCTTCAAGTTAAGTTGCTATTTTTTTAGGATTAGTAGCTGATAAGTTTATAGACAGAGACTCCGTGATTTTTTCCTCTTTTCAGTATTTTCCCTCAACCCCTAACCAGTCTCAGCAGATGGCCCCGCCCCTCCCTGAGCCTGGCTCTGCTGGAGGTTTCTTCCTGTTAAAAGGGAGTTTTTCCTTCCCACTGTTGCCAAAGTGCTCACTCATCTTCTGATTGTTTTTTCTATTATTGTAGCGTCTTTACCTTAGAGTATCAAGCCCCTTGAGGGAACTGCTGTGATCAAGTGCTACAGTAATACAATTGAATTGAATTACACTAACACACTATTTTAATCGAGATCTAATGAATGGGTGTTCGGTGAAGTATCAGGGGAGGACAAGTTCTGCGTGATGAGGCCCAATCAGGAGTAAAATGCAGGTATCTGTGTCATCCCCACTCCAACACAACACATCATATTCTTGTCCTGCAAACAGAAGCATAATTAGAAAAGGGAAAATAATCATATAGAAAAACCTTTTTCACAAATCCTGTTGGAAAACACACTAAATCTCACAACATGTTAGAAAAAGAGAAATCTGCAAAAAATTTGGGCTAAATTTAATCAGTTCCCCCGTGCACATCGAGGCCTTTGTAAAAACGCAACAACAGCCTCTAGACATGTTTTAAAGAAGAATTCTATTATTAAGTCGAAGCCTCTCATAGCCTATCATATCATAGTGTTTGTTTATTTTCATTTTCTACAGCAGCACTGAGTTTGTCCAGTCATCTCACATTAAGTGATCTTCAACCTAATTCTAAGATCAGATCTTTATTTAACATCTTTATTGTCATTGTTGCAGAATCCATGAGAAATTGTTTAGCAGCACAGATCTAAACTATATATTAATAACAATATAAAAGAAAATACACTCTCACACAGACTTACTATGTGGTGCAACATCATAATTATGAACTCTGCTTCTAAGATTTGCAGTGAAACATTTTTCTCTCTGCTTTCCTGTTGCGCTACATTTTCTTTCACACGGTGCAAAATGAAGTGGTCCAAACAGCGTCCACCATCAGAGCCAACTGTTATAACGTTAGATTGAGTAATGTGATATTTACCCACTCAGCCTAATGTAAAGTCCTTCTGTGTGGGCGAGGAGAGATCTTAACAGGCTGAATAATCCAGTCTATTCTTGTCTAATCTCATTTTATTACATTTCAACGAGTGATCGCCAGCGTGGCAGACAGACCAGGGTCGTTGATATCTCATACTTGATGCTCAGAGACGGCGCTAAAGCAGTGGACCTCCTCAGAGACGACGATTTGAAAAAGCATCATGCGGACATTCATGTTAAAAAATGAATCTCCAAAGATTAGCGACATTAA